TTTGTAGTCTTTTATCCCTTGTCTCCCTTCCCTCCTTCACCCCAAGTCCCCAAAGTTCACTGTATCATTTTTATGCCTTTGCGTTCTCATAGCTTAGCTCCCACATACAGTGAGAACATATGATGTTTGGTTTTTCATTCCTGAGTTACTTCACTTAGAATAGAATAATAGTCTCCAGTCTCATCCAGGTCGCTGCAAATGCTGTTAATTCATTCCTTCTTATGGCTTAGTAGTACTCCATCGTATATATATACCATAGTTTCTTTATCCACTCATTGATTGATGGGCATTTAGGTTGGTTCCATGATTTTGCAATTGTGAATTGTGCTGCTTTAAACGTGCATGTGCAAGTATCTTTTTCATATAATGACTTCTTTTTCTCTGGGTAGATACCCAGTAGTGAGATTGCTGGATTAAATGGTAGTTCTACTTTTAGTTCTTTAAGGAATTCTCCACACTGTTTTCCATAGTGGCTGTACTAGTTTACATTCCCACCAGCAGTGTAGAAGTGTTTCCTGTTCACTGCATCCATGCCAATATCTACTGTTTTTTGATTTTTTGATTATGACCATTCTTGCAGCAGTAAGGTGTTATTGTATTGTGGTTTTGATTTGCATTTCCCAGATCATTAGTGATATTGAGCATTTTTTTATACATTTGTTGGCCATTTGTAGATCTTTTGAGAATTGTCTATTCATGTTCTTAGCCTACTTTTTGATGAGATTGTTTTATTCCTTACTGATTTGAATTCATTGTGGATTCTGGACATTAGTCCTTTGTCAGATGTATAGATTGTGAAGATTTTCTCCTACTCTGTGAGTTGTCTTTTTACTCTGCTGACTGTTCTTTTTTTCCATGCTAAAACTCTTTAGTTTAATTAAGTACAAACTATTTATCTTTATTTTTATTGCATTTTCTTTTGGGTTCTTGGTCATGAAACCCTTGCCTAAGCCAATGTCTAGAAGGGTTTTTCCAATGTTATCTTCTAGAATTTTTATAGTTTCCAATGTTACCTTCTAGAATTTTTATAGCCTTTTGTTTAGTAAGAACTCAAGGACAGAAAGCTGGACAAGATTGCATGGTTCTATTCTAGCTGCTTTCTATGAAGATGTGTGCTTGGAAAAGAGAGGTTTTTGGTCTTTTCTTCTGCTAATCAAAGCTTGATTTTCTGATTGGATAGGTCACATCTATAATCAATAAATTGGGGACTCCTTTTCCTTTTTGCAGAGCATAAAATCCATAAGGAAACAGGTCATTTATTTGTGGTAAAGGTAACCTTCAGCTGTAGGTTGTTTGTTCATAAGGACAAGTCTGTTGTTTATCACTGGCACAGTGATGACAAAGGCAGGAAGATTAGGCCAAGCCTACACTTTCAGGAGAGTCTATCATTGGATTGACTTTGGTGTTCAGAAGCAAACTTTCTCAAAAAGCAGGCAGGGAAGGAGCCAGTGATACTTCTGGGCTTGTTGAGGTATATCCCTTCCTCTCTCAGGATGGTATTTGTCCATTTTGATAAGTCTCACACGGTACTATTTATAACTTGTAAGATCATTTCAAGTTAGTATAGGTCAGTAAGTTCAATATTTAAGTTTATTTGTGCCCCCCAAATCATGACTTCTATGACCTAGGAACATCCCTTGTCCACATTTTTAATGGCATGAAATCTGTCCTGCAATTTGATCTTACAGCGTACACTTGGAATAGATTTTTTAAAAACTGTAAGCTTGACAGTAGTGGCTATGCTTCTGAACTTGTACAGGTGATCAAATGATTTATTTCCTTGAGGAATTCTATGGTTTATCTGGACTTTTATTTTGATTCAAGTTTTATTTATCTATAAGCACAAGCAAATTGGACTATATCAAGGGGTATTTTCTGCTCCATTTGCTATGGCTTCTTCCAATAGTTCTTCCAGAATGTCTTCAGCAGAACCAAGATTTTCTTGCTGCTGGAAGTGCTTAACAGAGTCAAACTTCATAGAACGAAGTACACTGATTGTGTTGTCATCAAAAGTTGGTGTGTTAAGCATTTGGGCCATTTATATCAATTTTAAGATGAACTGGGAGCATGAAGAAAGAGAAGATGAGTTTCTCCTCTCACTAACACACAAGTTTTCCAAATGGAAAGAAGCAGGGAAAATACGGGGTAGAGGTTTAAAGAGAGGTTAGGAAAGAAAGTACGTTGCTCCAGACTTATTTTCCCCAACTCAGAATGGAAAAAGTGGAAAATAAGATCACAGAAAGAAGGAAGAGAAGGAAGGAAGAGAAGGAAGGAAGGAAAAGAAGGAAGGAAGGGAGGAAGGGAGGAAGGGAGGAAGGGAGGAAGGGAGGGAGGGAGGGAGGAAGGGAGGGAGGGAGGGAGGGAGGGAGGAAGGGAGGAAGGAAAGGGGCATTGAGAATGCAGTAAAGCATATGAATGTGTACAGACATTCAGATATAGGATTGAAGTTCCAGCCTTGCTACTTTCTAGCTGTGTAACCTTGGGCAAGTTACTTAATGGTACTAAGCACCAGTTTCTTTATCTACAAAATGAAAATAACAATAGCACCTTTCTTATAGTGTTGTTATAAGAATCAAACGAGATAATACATAAAGTGGGCTTAGTTCATGGTAAATACTAAATAAATAGTGGTCAGGATTTCAGTTATTACCAATGTTTTCTTTTTTCCACAACTGTTTTGAGATGCAATGAAATCTTACATATTTGGCCTTTACTGATACATAATTACTCAGACAGAAATCAAGCTGAAGTTACCTTGATGAACAACCTTTCCTGTGAAATTAGCATTACTCAATTAGTATAATTAATTAACATAGTTAATAGACTAGACAAAACTGAAGTAGATTTATTTGTTGAGAAATACTGACTCAACAAATGTCTCTTATGCTTACTTAGCTTAGTTAGCTAAGCTTCAATTAATAGGTACATCTGAAAATTAAAATACTTCTCCCAAACTGAATTTCTTTAAAAAAATCTACATTTTATGCTGTTCAATGAATTAGACTTTCCTCTCCAATTAATTGAAAAGAGTAAAGTTGTAGAGTCTAACAAAATTTCCTTGCCTAAAATTAAAAAGAAAAAATCCGTGGGCAGCTCTCTTTTCAGGACAGGGTCACTCTAGACCATGGATAATCGAATTCTGTTGAATTTGCACAATGATCTCTTTAGCCTCATTCATGATCGTAAGCAGTCTGTGAGTGATTACCCAAAGACTCCTTGAGGACTCTTAAACCCTAATGAGGAATGAGAATTTTACCGAGAATGAAACAACTTCCTTAATACATCCTTCATAAAGTCCTTTGCACTCTCAGAGAGTCTATGTAAAAATAGAGAGTTCTATGTAGAACTCAACTGGACTTCAATTATGGCAATATGTCATCGAAATACATCCTCCTTCATAAAGTATGTAAAAATAATAACTAGAACTTAACTTTGTGCTGCCATAATATTTGTCATCAAAAGAACAGTAGATGAATGGCCTTTATTCTAGTCTTGGTTTTGGCCAAAATCAACAACAAGACCTTAGGAAAGTCATCAAACCAATCCAGGTCTCAGTTACATCATTGTAAAATGGGACATACCTCTAATTTCCTTTAGCTTTAACATTAATCAAAATGTATCAAGCCACTCACAAACTTCTTGTTTGTAAAAGATGCTGTCCTGTACAGAGCAGTAATATACTCCCTCTTTGTGTCTGCAAAATTAGCACAAGGTTATTGTTCTTGGGATTATTACATCATTTTACATTTATCTCTTCTCTCTGTAGACTTTACTGGGACAGACAATTGTATTTTTTAATCATTTTTAAATACTAGTCTTGTGAAGTTGGCCAGATAAGAACAACCTTACTCCATGAACCAGGGACAACCTATTAGCAGTCCTAAAATTGGAGCCATGCAGATAATCACACAAAGAACCAAATATTATTATAAATGAAGTATTTGTGAAAGGAGAAAATGACAAATAGGGAAATTTTCTTGTGCTCCCAGAATAAAGCAAATGAGGCATGGTCTTAAGAGTTACATAAATTAAAATTTCCATACTGATCAAAACCATTTCCATCATGAATAATGAGAATGGTACATACACCATTAGGCCAGAGATTGGGATCTGGGAGTCTGAGGAGGCAACTAGCTGGAACAGTCTTACAGTGCGATTCTTTAAGTCAGGGATAAGATCCTAGATTTCAGTCCAAGAAGTTCCCATAATGCATTTCTACAATGCTTAAAACATACTGGACATTAAATTAGTTAATTTTATGATTTGTACACCAAGAAGGGAAGGAACGGGCATGCTTCATGTTTGCCTGAGTAAGGGGTGCTTGTTCACATAGAAGCAATGTGATATTCAATGTTGTCAGGTAGGAGGTGTTATTAACCTTCTCTCCTGGTCCAAAAGAATATTAGTTAGCTCAGGAATTCAGATGGATTTCCTTAATATTGCCATATATGTATGGATATATGTATAGCATTACCCAATTAATATGATTAACAGTTTATAGATTAGACAAAACTGAAGCAGATTCATATACTAAATATAAATATATATATATACACACACACACATATATTTATTTACTTAGGACTTTGTAAAGATAGCGAAACAATGTGGAAGGAATAGGACCTACAAAATAAACTAAACTCTGCATATCGAACCATTAAGAAGTATTTTATAATGTGCAGTTATTCCTTCTCATTAAAGTTCGGGTGACCCTCTATTTTTATGCAAACTACAGTACAGTCACTTTTCTGGTCTGGTCCTAGTCTCTATCACTTATATTCCATTGCAACCACATTCTGTGGTAGTCATCAATGCTTCTCACAGAATACATCCAGCTTTCCACTTTCCAGACAATGACAGACATTTACTATTTGAATATCTTGTAGTATTAGAATTGTGGCCAATTCTAATGAAGGAGTTTTGAGCAGAAGGGACATGTGTTACTTCCAGGTGAATCAAACTACCTGTGGGAAATTGAACAAAGTATTCTTTTTTCTTAGGGATGACTATTGGATCAGCAATACTCCAGAGAGTGACTTCACCAGACTGGGTCCCTGGATGATGACAGAGTCCCCCTGCAGTACAATAAAAATGTAGTGTGAATGAGGGATACATCTTTGTCTTTTGAGCCACTAAGATTTGAGATATAGTTACTGCAGCACAATCTAGTCTTTTTTGATTAATATCTATGCAGTGTTACATTTCACTCTGGTAGACACCATTTCTTATCAGATAGGTCAAATATATTTACTAGTTATGAAGTGTTCCCAGTCTTTGCTGCTCTTATTTCAAGTTCCATCTTTAAAGTACAGAACCTTTGAGTTCAGACTATATAGCAACCTACTAAATGAATTTTATTCCCCAAGGATTTTGGTTACTACTTGTTGTTCCACAAAATTATACAAATACACAAAATGCTAGCAATATGTGTGAGATTATATATTGTCCTCTAAAATAATGCCCTCTGAATCCTAAGCAAAGAGGACAAAGCTCAAGGTACCACACTAACTGACCTCAAACTATACTATAGCGATCCATAACCAAAACAGCATGGTACCAGTACAAAAACAGACACATAGACAAATAGAACAAAATAGAGAGCTGAGAAATAAAGCCACACATCAGCAAGTATCTGACCTTTAACAAAGCTGACAAAAGCAATCAGGAAAGGATCCCTGTTCAATAAATGTTACTAGGATTACTGGCTAGGCATATGCAGAAGATTGAAACTGGACCCCTTCCTTACACCATATACAAAAATCAACTCTTTAAGATAGATTAAAGACTTAAATGTAAAACCCCAAAGTATTAAAACCCTGGAAGACAACCTGGGCATAGAAATGAGCAAAGCTTTCATGACGAAGATGCCAAAAGCAATTGCAGCAAAAGCAGACATTGACCAATGGGATCTAATTAAACTAAAGAGCTTCTTTTGCACAGCACAAGAAACTCTCATACTAAACAGACAACCTGCAGAATGGGAGAAAATTTTTGCAAACTATGCATCTGACAGGGGTCTAATATCCAGCACCTGTAAGGAATTTAAACAAATTTGTGAGGAAAAACTCAAGCAACCCCATTATAGAGTGGGCAAAACCCATGAAGACACTTTTCAAAAGACATGCATGTGGCCAACAATCATATGAAAAAAAGCTCAACTTCACTGATCATTAGAGAAATGCAAATCAAAACCACAATAAGATACTGTCTCACAACAGTCAGAATGGTTATTATTAAAAAGTCAAAATAAAAAAAAAAAAGAGATGCTGGTGAGGTTGTGGAGAAAAAGGAACATTTATACACTGTTGGTGGCAGTGTGAATTAGTTCAACCATTGGAGAAAACAGTGTGTCAGTTCCTCAAAGGGCTAACAACAGAAATATCATTCAACCCAGCAATTCTATTATTGGGTATATACACAAAGGAATATAAATTGTTCTATTATAAAGACACATGCACCTGTATGTTCACTGCAGCACTGTTCACAATAGCAAAGACATGGAATCAGCCTAAATGCCCATCAATGATAGACTGGATAAGGAAAATGTGGTACATATATACAATGAAACAGTAGGCAACCATAAAAAAGAATGAGATCATGTCCTTTGTGGGAACTTGGATGGAGCTGGAGGCCATTATCCTTAGTAAACTAATGCAGAAACAGAAAAACAAATACCCGAAGTTCTCACTTGTTAGTGGCAGCTAAATGATGAGACACATGGACATATAGAAGGAAACAGACACTGGGGTCTACTTGAGGGTGGAGGTTGGGAGGAGGGAGAGGATCAGGAAAAATAACTAATGGATACTGGGTTTAATATCTGTACAAAATAATCTGTACAACAAACTCCCATGATACAAGTTTACCTATAATATAACAAACCTGCATGTGTACCACTGAACTTAACAATTAAAGAAATTAAAAATAAAACCAAATAATGCCCTATGTAATAATCCCATAGCTTTGACTGCATAGGTGTTTCATAGGCCATGATGATATGTAGAGGAGAAGTGAAAAATGTTCGGACTGAGTGCATTCTGGAAGACTGTCCCATTTCATACAAAACCTTTCACCTACTGTTGTTCTGTCTCACACCAATAAATGAACCTTGACTATAACTACTGTTTGTGGCCATCCTGTAATAACAAAAAAGTAGATTAAATATCTACATAGCATAATGTAAACAAGATTGAAAAAATTTTAAAACCATCAGATCTTCTTTGCTTATGTACAATTTGGTAATTATCTTTTACTGTGCTGTTTTTTTCTATTTTTGTAGACACTCTCAAAGCACTGGAAAATTACCATATGCATCAGTAGCATATGTAATGATGAAATTATTAAGATACTGAAGTGACTGTCTCTTGAAAATATACCTACCACTTGCTGTTTCATGAGGCTAGTAGGCCTATATTTGGAAGAAAATGTCTTGCATTCGATAGTCAGATGCTTCCAACAGATACAATCTTGATAGAGAAAAACCAAGAGTGTAGTGAATATTTTCAAGTAATTAGGAATCGCCACAGTAAATAGAAAAAAAAGAGACTAAGACTAATATGAGGTAAAAAAGGCTAATGCTGACTACCTATAGTTTTTCATAGAATTTTTTTAAAAAATAATAAAATGGAAGACTTTGGAGCAGTCATTGATGTAACTACTAATTGAAAGTGAAACACGAATGCCATTATTAATATCCTAATTATGAAAGTCATTCCTATGGAGCTGCCATTTTTTCTTCTCTTTGTATCATTAGTATCTTTTCCATTACCTCCTACAACCAAGGATCATATCTTTAGCTGCTTGCAGCCTCCATGAACTGCCCTCATGCTTTCCATACAAGAATGGGTCCGGGTGGTTCTTACACTTCCCAGCCAGAGTCCAGTGGATTTCTTCACAATATTGAGAAGTATGTCTATCATTTCTGGAGTATTTCTGTTTTACCTAATCCATTTGAGAATGAATGATTTTTACGTACTAGTATCTTCCTTTTTTTTTTTTTGAGACGGAGTCTCGCTCTGTCGCCCAGGCTGGGGTGCAGTGGCGCGATCTCGGCTCACTGCAAGCTCCGCCTCCTGAGTTCACGCCATTCTCCTGCCTCAGCCTCCCGAGTAGCTGGGACTACAGGCACCCGCCACCACGCCTGGCTAATTTTTTTGTATTTTTAGTAGATACGGGGTTTCACCGTGTTCGCCAGGATGGTCTCGATCTCCTGACCTCGTGATCCGCCCACCTCGGCCTTCCATTCTATTTTTGGTTGTTTATCATGAATCAAATGAAACACCCATTGGGCATACAACTGACTTTTATTGGTGACCCCATGTTTTTATAGGAGCAGACCTATGAACAAAAATTTGACAAATTCAACCAAATTATTGTTGTTGCTTATTATTATCATACAATCCACAACTACAGGATTTTGGGGACAATATTGTGTTTATCTAATTATTTTATTTAGAATAATTTATGTAACATTACATTAGGAGGTTAAAACTGGTTTGGGCAAATAATGAAGGTAAAGTTCTATTTTTTTAAGAGAAATTTTAGGTGCATCACAAAATTGAGTGGAAGATACAGATATTTCCAATGTAGCCTCTGCCTCTACACATACATAGCCTCTCCATTATCACTAAGCTCCCACCAGGAGTGGGTGAATTTTTTTTTTTTTTATAATAGATGAAGCTACACTGACACATCATTATCCTTCAGAGTCCATAGTTAACATTAAGATTCATTTTTGTTGTGGATTTTATGAGTTAGGACAAATATATAATGACATATACCTAGAATTGTAGTGTTATAGAGAGTAGTTATACTTCCCTAAAAATCCTGTGCTCTGCTTATTCATCCCTCTCTCCCTCAGAACCTTTGGCAACCAGTGATCTTTTTTTTTTTTTTGAGACCAAGTCTTGCCCCGTCGCCCAGGCTGGAGTGCAGTGGCGCAATTTCGACTCACTGCAACCTCCACCTCCCAGGTTCATATAATTGGAATCATATATCATGTAGCCTTTTCAGATTGGCTTTTACTTAGTAATACATATCCAAGTTTTTTCCATGTCTTTTCATGGCTCCATAGCTCATTTCTTTTTAGTGCTGGATAATATTCATTGTCTGAATGTGTCACTTTTTTTTTTATTCATTCATCTACTGAAAGACATCTTGGTTGCTTCCAAGTTTGGGTAATTATGAATAAAGCTGCTATAAATATCTGTATGTAGGTTTTATTGTGGACACTCATTTTCAACTTATTTGAGTAAACACCAAGGACTGTAATTGCTAGACCATATGGTAAAAGTGGGTTTTGTAAGAAACTGCCAAACTCCCTTCCTAAGTGGCAGTACCATTTTGCATTTCCACCAGCAATGAATGAGAGTTCCTGTTGCCTCTCATCCTAGACAGCATTTGGTGTTGTCAGTGCTCTGGATTTGGGCCATTCTAATAGGTGTGGTATCTCCTTGTTGCTTTAATTTGCATTTCTATGATGGCATATGATGTGGAGCATACATTCATATGCATTTTAGCCATCTGTATATTTTCTGTGATGAGGTGCCTGTTCAGGTCTTTGGCTCAGTTTTTAAATTGGGTTGTTTCGTTATTGTTGTTGACTTCTAAGAGTTCTTTATATATTTTGTATAATAGTCCTATCTGATATATGTGTCCTGCAAACATTTTCTCCCAATCTGTGCTTACCTTTTCATTATCTTGATGGTGTCCCTTCAGAGAAGAAAGTTTTAATGAAGTCCAGCTCATCAGTTCTTTCACGATTTATACCTTTGGTGTTGCATCTAAAATGTCATTATTAAACCCAAGGTTGTCTAGATTTTCTCCTATGTTATCTTCTAAAAGCTTTTATAGTTTTGCATTTTACATTTAGGTCTCTGACTCATTTTGAGTTAATTTTTGTGAAGATTCACAAAAGCTTCACAAAAGATTCATTTTTTTTTTTTGCATGAAGATGTTCATTAATTCTAGCCCTATTTTTGGAAAAGACTTTATTTTCTCTATTGTATTGCCTTTATTCCTTGGTCAAAGATCAGTTGACTGCATTTATATGAGTGTATCTCTATGCTCTTTATTCCGTTCCATTGAACTATCTGTCTGTTCTTTTGC